TTTTTCTAAATCAATAAAAATCAAACGTAGATTCTCCTTATTATCTCTGAACTTCTCCATCAAACCTCTCAATAAATGTATAGCTTCCATGGTAGACATGCCCGACATAAATCCAAATTGATTGTGAGCAATCTTTGTGATGCGTCTTAACCTATGTTCAATTATCCTCTCCCATAATTTTAAAGTATGACACGTCAACTTAATTCTTCTATAATTTGCATCTATAATTTGCACACCCTCTTGTGCATCCCTCTATTCTTAAAAATGGGGATCAAAATACTCTTCTTTCACTCCTCAGGCATCTTTTTAGTTTTTAAAATCATATTAAAGAGTTTAGTAAGCCATGAAACTCCCAAATCTCCTAAATATTTCCACACTTCAATTGGGATATCATCAGGTCCTATAGACTTTCCACCCTTGATTTACTTTAAAGCTTTCTCAACTTCTTTTTTATTAATGTTACGGTAAAAATGAAACGTTTTATTATTATTCACGATATTAAGATCACTAAGGTCGATTGTATTTTCAAAAACTTCATTAAAAAGTTAATAAAAATAACTCACCCACCTATGTTGAATATCTTTTTCTAAGAAAAATACTTTTTGATTTTCATCTTTAATACACTTTACTTAAGTTAAATCTTTACTTTTCTTCTCTCTTTGTTTGGCTAGTTTATACATATATTTTTCACCTTTCTTAGTATCTAATTTATTATAGAGATCATTAAAAATAAAATTTTTAGCGTCACAGATTGTTCTTTTAGACTCTCTGCGGGTCGTTTGATATTTTTTCCAGTTCTCTAAGCTTTTACATTTAAACCAATTTTTATAACATAACTTCTTATATTTTATCTTTTCTTGCAATTATTGTTTCACCACCAACTATTTTTATTTATAAAAAAATTTTTCTTCTGATTCCCCAAATACAACTTTATTAAAGAACATTATCCTAAATGTTCTTTAATATACACTCATTTAATTTGATTTTGCTCAAGTGCTCGTGCATTATAAAATTAACAAGTCATTTGTCTCTGTGTAGATAATCCATTTTGGTGCTACGTTTGCATTGTTGGTGCTTGACTAAATCATCTTAGAATTTTTTGAAATTTGTCATTTGACCACCTTTCATGATGTTCCTTAAGATAAATTTCTTTGAATGATTCATCAAATGCTTTATGATTACAAATTAGTCCAACATAAAATTGATTTGAGAAATAGGGGTATCAATTCCCAATTTTGATATCATTGACACTTATTGGAAGTCCAAAAGTTGTTCACATGATATGACGGCTTGAAAACTAGGGAGTACTTTTTAGCACTCATTGAATAAGCAATTAGATCGTGGAATTTAATGACATACAGATTAAAGAAGTCAGATTATAATTTGTGGATGCAATAATATATGAAGTAAAAATGGTCAAGTTTTAGCAGTGTTTTGATAGGCATATTATCAGTACTTCATTGATTTTTGCAGCAAACAACAGAATGATTGAAAAAATGGATCTAATTATGTGCATAACTTTGCAGTAGTTCGACAACTGATAGAACATAGTATGAATGTTATTGTAGACTTTTATTTTAATATTTGAAATAAAAAAGCTAGTTCATTCGAATGACACTTTAGGCCTGAGTGGAATGCTTTGTCAAAAGATGACTAGAGGTATGCTTAGGGAAAAAAAAGCATGTTAAGCTTTAGCAATGATAACTTCAGCTATTCTATTTCTATTGAATATAATGTTTTGCTAAAGACACATTTGTATGCGACTTACCATTTTTGTTGAATAAATGCCTTAGTGGCCATAGTCGGATTATTAAAGGAGAATTTAGAACTTTTACATTTGAAATATTTTCTAATTTTAGAATTTTCTTTTATTGGTAATTCCACTATTCAAACATGAGGATTTTGTAACTGATTTTTGTGGCTTTCCTAATTTGGTGGCCTTCCTTTGCCATTTATCTTGTAAACTTCTCTTATGAAATCTAAGGAGAATTTGTATTTTTTCTTCTAAAAAACCTTCATGGAATCAGAGTTAAGGCTATGCGAACACTCTTGCTATAGTAGAAGTGTTGTAGAACCATGCTAATTATCAACATTGAAAACCCATTTGAGGGTTTCAACTTCTTTTTTCGTAGACGTCCTTGGGTAAGTGCGGAAGAGGGAAAAAGATGATGGCTCTCGTCACAACTTTCTCGCATTTTTTCGTCGAGAGATTTGGGCTTGCTTCTGCATTCAAGACTTTGGGTCTGCCATGACGTTGAGGGTTTCAACTTCTTCTGCCTATCACCAGCGACACCATCTTTTGCTGGGCGCTTCTCTGGCCTGAGCCTTCTTCGTTGACATCTCTATTGCAGGTTTCTTTTTCGCTGGCTTTTTCTTAGCTTGAAGCGCCGATATATTTTCCAAAGCATGGAAGGACACGTGATCGAGCTCGACTCATGTTTTTGTCCCATCATCTTCTCCTCTTATGATGTGGTATAAGTGTTGACTGTGAAATAAAACAAAATAGAAAGGAAATAAAATATAATAAATAAATAAATAAATAAATAAATAAATAAATAAATTACTTATTTGTTTCCACAAAGCGTAAAGAGATCCACGAAAAAAAGAGATAACTGCTCCCGCTCTTATTCAGTTACATAAACAAACCAAGCATTTCTCCAAGGTTCATTCACACATCTCTCTCAAAAATCCCCTTCATTTTCTGTTGCTCGTTCTCTGGTCACCCTCAAACCTTTCTAATCCTTTTCTCGAAGATCTTCAGATTCCCTGCTCCAGCCTACGCTTCTTCCACTTTCGTTCTCCATCCACACAGTATTCTTCCTATTCGAACTCCACACAAGGTAAATCTCTTACTCGTATTTCCTCTACGTTCTTCATGATTTGCACGTCTCTTGTTGTTTTTCCTCTACTTTGTTTGTCTTGCTTTCAGTATCTCTTTTCTATTTTATCTGCACAAAAAGCAGCACGTTGCCCTGTGCGGCGATCCCTTTCCTCGCTCCCGTAAATTGTAGTATCATAAGCCTTCACCCTGCCAAAGCCCCCGCACTTCCCTGTTCTTCCTTTTTCTTTCGATCTCACCAAACTACGAGAGCGCTCTTTTCACACTTTGCAACTAGAAGTCAGAATCCCTCCGCTTCAGCCTATTCAACCCTTTGTTTCGCCCTAAGGAGCTGCACCACACTTTCCACTCCGAAGCCCGATCTCCCTCCTTTACGGTCGAACAAAAGGCTGCACCTCCCTCACACAGTGTCACAATACTTGTTGCGTCTTCCTATTGCGATCGACCCTCTATGCACTTGTTGCAGAGCTCTTCATTGTTGCAGACCCTCTATGAACAGAAGCCTTCATTTGTCTCACTGAATTCCTTACTCCATTTCAAACTGTTGAGGTCGAAGCTCTG